TATATATATATATATGTATATATATACCAGTATTACTTTTAAAAGCATTTAGTTCTCCCTGTATATTTTCTTCTTTAAGTAATTCGATAGTTCATATTTTGAAAGACAAAATATTTTGGAAGACATTTTGGAAGACAGATGGTTACTATAATTTTGTTTTTGTTTTTATGTGTGTGCGTGTATGTCATTGTGTGTACATCTACGTTTAACTCGAGTATTATTTCAAATTTGATTTATATTGATTATTACCGTCTCTTCAACAAAATATATTCACACATAATGACAAAAAAGAGGTATGTGCATATTAAACACAAAGGAATTTTGATCTTTAAATTTGTGTTTCGACAATATGTATATATACACAAAATGTTAATTTTTGTATAGAATTATGTTTAAATGCATAAACATACACGCATATATTGGTAACTTTGTGTAACGATAATGAACAGATTCCAATGACTAATTTCTTTTTTTTTTCGAATATATAACTATGTCCCGCGTTTGTGTTAAGAAAAAAATAAAAGATATGTGTTATTGAGCGCGATTTTGCAAGTGAGTAGCAAAGAAAGAAAAAAGAATAGACAAAAAGCTTTTTTTACGTATCAACTTATATACGTATGTGTGAGTAAAATAGTTAGAAAAGAATTTTGTTCGTTGTTCTCATTTTTCAAAAAGTTAGATTATTCATTAATTAATTTATAACCGAACTTTTTGAAAAGTTTCTTATCTTTTTGTTGCTGTAGACTTGTTTCATTTTCAAATATTCCAATTTTTTTATTCTCACCACCGCTGTGATCCATTATTTCTTTTTTTAACGTTAACCGAACGATTGCAACAAACATAAATTTGTAGACCTTTGGAGCAGTAATTGATTTTGAACCTTTTATGTTTTATACGATCAAATATTAGGGGGATCGCGATGGTGGTAAAATAACTGGAGTGATCACTATAGCGCGTGTATTGTATTCATAATACGGTGGTATAGTAACAACCGAGATTAACGTCACAAAAAACAGTACACCAGTAATAATAATCATGATCCTAGAAATTTCCTTACTTTTTTGTTCGATTAACCATTCCAGAACTCTGTCCTCGTTCTTAAGATTACCTATAAAAGGTACACACGCATATAAAAATGAGCAACTCTTTCGGTTTGGCATACTGAAATCTTTTTCATGGTTAAATCGTCGATGGCATGTCGGGCACGTCTTTTTTTTTCTCTAAGAAATGCTTAAAAATGCATTACACAAAGTCTGTAATAGGATAATTATAATAATTATTCTATATATATACAGGGTGATAAAAAAAAGGGGTTCGACATTTGAAGTACTTATCGAGACGAGTAAAAAATGTCTAATTAATGTGGATCCTAAAATATCAACCCTTTCGATGTAAATCAACCTTTATTATTTATGAATCTCGAATAAGCGAGTCTCTTGGTAATATATTGTTCAAAATTGCCAAGATAAGTTTATTATGAAAATGAGCGAAAACTATTACTAATATCAATAAAGATTACTTCGTAGCAGTACAAACTTTTAATAGATATTTATCCCGTACATTCATAAATAATAGTTAATTTACAACGAAAGAATTCATTTTAGGTGGCACATCTTAAATGTTCATTTCTTAGTCGTTTCGGTGAATATTATAAGGTCTTCAAATATCAAACCCTTTTTTTTTATCATCCTGTATAGAATAATTTCGGGGAAAACGGTATATTCCTTTTTTTTCTATAGATGTACATGATTTATCACATTTAAATCTAATCCTATTAAAACGCGATTTTTTAAATGAAATTTAATAAAAAAGAAGTAGACATTTTTTTGGAGTAAATAAAATAATTAAAACATCAATGATTTTTTGCTAAATTAAATTAATAACAAATTATATATATTAAAATGAATATTATCTATATAACTATGACATGTACTTATTTAAAATAATATTACTTTTGAAAAATATCTAAAAGATATACAAATATATAGAGGAACACACACACAAGTGAATGGGATATAAATTAAAAAATAAATATTTTTTCTATGTACGTAGGAAATGAAATAATATTGCACCGACTACCTTTCTCGACTCTGCATTTAATGACCAAGCGAAATGAAGCACACTAAGCTTACCGTCATACATGATTGGAACACCAGTCTCGTAGTAAATCAAAGCTGGAAAGGAGAAGACACCAATCTCGGCTGCCAATTTAGCATCGTTCGATTTGACGAATTGAATTCCGTGTTTATCTGTATCATCGTCAATCGTTTCTAATTCTTCCAATATTTCTGCGCAGGTATCGCAATCGTCATCGTCTAAGTGTAGACAAGAAAAAAACAACGACGAGATAATTTATCGCAACTATCTATCATAATTACATATATATATATATGTTACGGTCACTTCTTATTCACTTCTTATGAATGCATAGATTAACTGGTTGAAGTATGCAATTCTGTATTATCTCATACTATAACTGGTCATTTACGTTATTCCATTGAATAACTGGTTATTTCATAGATTGATAGATTTGATACATGAACGATAATAGATACATATTTTACTAACTATTAATATATTTTATATATTACAGATTTTGATAGATTTATTGGATTTGCAAGTAACGTAATAAGAATCGATTAAAAATAAGAGAAAAATGAAAATGATAAGAAAGATAAACTTACAGAAAAATACAGCAAGATGTTCTACGTCGTTAATAAGCGTTTGCAATGTTTTTCTATCAGCGCTTTCGATAACATCAGGCGTAGAGCTACGAAGATCTAAAACCCAATCTAAAATAGCTTCCTCGTGCATCATATCTCCTGTATAAAATTGACGAAATTTGTGCCTGTAAAATGCAAGAGCTGGTAGCCCAGGTAAATCGTATTCCTTCTCAATGCCTTCGTCAGATATTTTAACAAAATCTATATTTTTTTCTTCGCATTCGTCGTCAATGTTTTCTAACTCTTGCAGAATTTTTTGGCTCTTTTTGTCACCTTCCTTATCTGCGTAATAATATATATGCATATAATATAATTGTTAGTTATTATTTATATGAATGATTCTGAGGTAAAGCTTGAAAAAAGAAATACAGGCGGCCAAGAATATAAATATAATAAATTTACAAAACAACTACTCTTTTTCGAAAATAAATAAATAAATAATTTTTAATCGCTCGTGTACTTCGGGTACTCTCCTCGTATTACAAGTTAAGTATTATATTATAAAAATAAAATGCTTAATGTATACTTACAAAAGAAAACAACAACATAATCGTTCTCATCTAAAATATTTTCCAACAGCTTGGAATTAACCTCCTCGATCTTTCCTGGTATCTCTAGTGTATTTTCGTCAGTGATCCAGGAAAGCACCTCGTCCTCGTCTCCAAGATCGCCAGGATATATCAAAGGTTCTTTGTTTCTGAAGAAAGCCAGTGTAGGAAAACTTTTAATACCATATTTTTTGGCAAGGGGCAAATCTTCCGTTGTCACGAAAATGATACCAGCTTCGTCGAGCTCGTCATCGATATTTTCTAATTCTAAAAGAACGTTATCGCAGCTATCGCCTTCGTCGCAGTTTCCACCTGGTGAGAAGAATTCAATTGTCACGTATATTTCTATTATTATATAAAACAAATGTAATTAAGTTATTAATTTGACCTATGGATAAAGAAAAATGTTGTCATGGGAAATCATTTACAATCTACTTACTAAAATACACCACAACATATTCGTGTTCGCTTATGAGATCGGTCAGAATTTCATCCGTGACCTCTTCGATCGTGGCAGTGTTTTTTTGTTCGATCAACCATTCCAAAACTTCATCTTCGTTGAGAAGATCACCTTCATAAATAGCTGGGATCTTATCTTCGAAATAAACTAAAGTAGGAAGATGATCGATACCATACTCTTTCGCTTCTGCATCATTATCCATTCTAATGATAACAATGCCTTCCTTTTCGAGTTCATCGTCGATATTTTCTAATTCGTTTAAAATACGTATATCCTGCTTGTCGTCTTTGTCATCTAATATTAAACAAATTATACAATTTCATATAATATTATTAATAACGCTCAAAATATAACAGATTATACTATTGAACATAGAATACATATACAAAGTTTCTTACAAAAAAGGACAGCAAGGTATGGTGAAGTTTCAATGAGTTTTTCCATCATTTCATCCGTTACTTCAGGAATCTCAGTATGTTTTTTCTGATGTAAGAGCCATCCCAATAACTGATCTTCGTTCATTAGATCACCTACAGGGAACATAATCAAAATTGATCAATGGAAACATTCAAATGAGTTTATTGAAGTTTTACCTTCGTAAACGTGAGGTATTCTTCTTTCGAAGAAAACTAAAGTTGGAAGGTTTTCAATACCATATTCCTTGGCTTCATCTAAATCATGAATCTTAACAAAAGCTATGTTATGTTGATCACAATCATCGTCGATGTTTTCTAATTCGCCAAGCACGTTCTTACTTTTCTTTTGATCTTTGTCATCTAAAAAAGAAAAGCAAATTTTAAAAAGTGAAACATTTATCAATTTAAATTTTAATAAATATTCTTTATAGTTTTTTATTCTAACGATAATTATATAAGCGCTTGTACACGACCGTGATCAACAATTAATTACTAACAAAAAAGTACGGCTACGTGCGGCATTTTTTCAATAACCATGTCTAACATCTCGTTGGTGATGTCCTCTATTTGTTCACTCTTCTGCTGTTGTTCCAACCATTTCAATACCTTCTCCTCGTCCTCCAAATTACCCTCGTACATCGTTGGTATCCCTTTTTCGAAATAGAGCATACTTGGTATTTTTTCGATACCATATTCCTTTGCTTCTTCAGCGTTATCGATCTTCACAAAGGTAATTCCAAATTGATCACATTCGTCGTCGATGTTCTCCAATTCGTTTAAAATCCTTTGTGATTTCCGGTCGTTGTTATCATCTTATTGTAAAAACAATTAGAAAAATGTAGACACAGTAATAAATATATATATATAACATTTATAAACGTTCATTATAAAAGACTATCTTACAAAAAAGAACAGCCAAAGTTTTGCCATCTTTTATCAAACGATCTAACATCTCATCGGTAACATCTTCTATCTCATCTTTTTCTAATTGCGATAATAACCATTCTAAAATCTCATCCTCGTTTTCGACGTCACCTAAAATTATAAAAACAAAATATAACTAATTGATAGTAACCTTAAATATTTGTTATTTCTTTCTTTCATCTCACTTGATCTACCTACCGTCATAAACATTTGGAATTTGTTTTTCAAAATAAACAATCGCTGGTATAGAATCTAAACCAAATTCCTTCGCTGCTTTTTCATCGTCAATCTTAACGAATTGAATCCCATGTTTGTCCAAATCGTCATCGATCTTTTCAAGCTCGTTCAATACTTGCATCGAATCCTCGTCGCCGTGATCGTCTGTTTAAAATAGAATTCCGTTAATTATCTTCAAATATTCCATTTAAAAAATAACAAAATATATACTTACAAAATAAAACGACCAGGTTGTCGATGTTTCCAATTAAAGTGTTCAATGTTTTAGCTGTTACATCTTCGATTACATCTTCTTCATCGCCAGTACTTTTATTTGCTACTAGCCATTCCAATACGTCCTCCTCTCTGCTCAATTCGTCTATACAATCATTAGGATCAATTAAATATATTGATTTTGCACATTAAATTCATCATTTTGAACAATAGTTCAATTTTGAACTATTTTACAAGTCTAATTCACCCTTTAGTCTTGTAACTTGACTTGGAAAAGAGTGAATTTCAAGTGCAAAAGGGCTTGTTTAAAGTGCAAAACCTACATAACATTATTTTGTATAGTTAATACTTACGTTCGTAGATAATAGGTATTTGGTGCCTATAGTAAACGAGAGCCGGTAAAGGTCCGAGATTATATTCTTCAGCAAGCTGTTCATCAGCAATTTTGACAAAACCAATACCCAATTGATCAGCTTCGTCATCAATATTCTCCAATTCTTGAAGTGCCCTCAAGCATTTTTTGCAGTCTGGCTTGTCTGTCCCATTTCAAATAAGGTGATAGATTACAAATCCTATTATCCTACTTTTCATTTTACATTAAATTATTCTTTCTCTCTTGTGCCGTATTATGAAGTAGCAATCAATTTCTAAAAAAAACTATTGCAAAACGTATTTCATTGAATTTTTGAATTGATGCGAGTACAACAGAGAAAAACAAAATAAGTATATCCTTCCTAGACAGTATGCATTTATCCATGAATATTCGAGATAACTAATAACTACGACAAAAACCTACAAAAAATTGTTTTCTCGCCACTTGTTACAACCCCTTCTCTTGCCATGTATATACTAAATTTGTTTTAAATAATATACTTACATATATATATATAAAGAAAAAAAGCATAACGAAGAGAGTGCTATTATTTATAAAGCGTCATTATTTGTAAATGTGTATTTTATAGGTACTATCTACATAATCATTTAGAAAAACGGAGATGCCGAACAATAGACAAAAAGGAGACAAATGACACACCATATACAACATGTATCTAAGGTATTTTTCTTTCTAAGAAAAAATCCAATTTGTTAATATAAGCAAAATAAAATATATAACTAACAATAAAAAAAAGACGAGTGTAAGGGGGAACATCAACTAGAAGCAAGGTTTAAGTTAATATACGTAAAAGCATGTACATAACATATACATACATGTATATATAGATAAAAGCTCTAATGTAAAAGGTAAGGATTGGTAGATTTGCTTTTTAATGTGTACTTACTAGAGCCGGTGCCAGCACATCGCTGCGTATCCGGACCTATCCACATTAACACACACAAGAACGTTTCACATATATGTAATATTTACAAGTATTGTCATAATGCAACGGGTCGCAAAGCGAAACCTTCGACATTTTGATAAACTTACAAAGCTCCTAAAGAGATCTCATACTCTGTCATCGTGAATATCGCATTAGGCATGTAGCTTTGCTCGACGAGAGTCGTGATTAAATTAAATATCATTTATTAACCATTCTCATTATACAAATAATCTATGATATTGCTTACACGATAATTTAAATCATTTATCGATTGGCTGCAATATGGTTAGATCTGATAACTGATTTTTATTTAATTATACAAAAATCAGTTATTGGCAATCATCACTTTCGTCGCGCAACATTAATGATGCCAGCAGAAAAAAGTGTGTGCATTGACTTTTATTAGACAATCATTGGTAGTAAACTGTGTATGCATGTCCATATACATATATGTGTATATATACATATACATATACATATTTTCGTATTCTTTGCGATACGTTATGAGCGCACCTTGTTTATCGCTAATTAATCAAAAAAAGAGACATAGAGACAATAACGATTCATTACAGAAAGAAATAAGGAAAAACAAATACTAACAATAGGTGAGATTGAATATATGTGTATGTATCTACAGGCAATCCCAAAAGGTTTGACTCTAAATTGTTCTATGAGATTCCCTCGATACGTTTCATTATCAGAAATATCGTTCAAACGTTTTAGGGATATTCTGTATATGCTTATGGGTATATGTGTTTATATGTATGTGTGTATTTGTGTAAGGATTTATTTATAACATATAAATGAGAAGAACGACAACATTAGATATGTACAACAATATATACAGAGTTATGATAAATATTGTTTTTTTTTTCGTTTGTTTACTTTTTAGACACGTCAAGTTAAAAAAGGGAATGTGTTAAAGCGCGATACAAGGACCAGGAATATAAAAGTGAAAAAAGAATAAATAAAGAACGATATTTGCAACACGTGAAGTAAAGCTACCATCATGTTTGTTTTTCTTTTTTTTTTGTATCAAAGAATGTTTCTTTGGTAAGTATTATATCTATCGTTGGCGTCGATTTAGATACATACATATTATACATATTTATCCTTTCTACAAATATCCTTCTAAATAATATCAAATGAATAAATATCAAATTGATACATGGTAGGGGCCAAAAGTTCGTAGGTAACTTTTCAAATCAATGATTACTTTGTAATCGAAGAAATTGTTCTTCCAATATGATGCTAATTTGAAGTAGATTGAAAAAGAACAATTCGAGAAGAGGATATAAATAAAAATAGGGAGAAAAAAAACAAAAACTCACAGAAAAGAACCGCTACGAATTCAGTATCTTCGACGATTTTATCCAAAATTTTTGCATTGACTTCTTCTATCCGATCTGGTAAATCCATTGCCTCTAAACTAGTAAGAAAGTCTAAAACGTTTTCTTCGTCCATCAAGTCTCCTAAAATGATGAAATTATTTATAAGAATTTACTTAATATTATTTTTATTCAATCAATTAAAAAAAAAAGGAATGGATATTTAATCATTGTTCATTGATTGGCTATTTGTCAATTGATCCTAAATATTAGATTGGTCAATAAGTAATATAAAAAATTTTAATATAAAAAATATTAGTGTTTTTTTTTTTATTTAAATACGAAATACTAAAAAGTGTTTCAGTTAAACAGATTACTCTTGATTTTTCTATAGTATTCTTATGAATATTTCGAACAAATTATTTATAAAGAAGGGAGGGAGGAGAGGGATTTGTCGTATATTTTTGTTTTCCAATAATCAATTTTTGAAGTATTATCATTAGCGTGTAAAAAAATTTGTTCTAATCTCACCATCGTATATAATTGGTTCTTTCTCACGAAAATACGTGAGAGCGGGAAAATTTTTAATTCCATACTGTTTAGCAACTCTTTTATCGTTGATCTTGACAAAATCGACTCCAAAGTGGTCCGTGTCATCATCTATTTTTTCCAATTCGGCTAATACTTTGTCACATGTCGTACAGCTTCTCGCATCTGTAACGAATCAATTATACTATTTTATTAAAAACAATTTATAGACATATGTGCATAGATAGATAAACATATACAGTCTGTCGAATTTTAGATATTAATTAATCATTTTAGAATTGATATTGTATTCGTCAAGATTACATTTGTTGNAAAAAAAAAAAAAAAAAAAAAAAGAAATTACTAATACCCGTCATTTTTATATAAATGTAAAAACCATTTAAAATTCCTCAATTCTACTTATATAAACGAATCGAATATTTCTTTTTCTCGAAATTATTTTACACACACACACACACACATTTCAGGTTAAATTTAAATTAATGGAATAAAAATTGACCTTTCCTTTGAAATTTATTCAAATTTTGCAATTAGTCGAAAGGATAAGAATTGCAATTAAATAAAAAGAAAAAGAAAAAGTAAAAGAAGAAGAAGAAGAAGTTGAGATAAAACGAAGGAATGAACGTGTTATATTTTTTTTTTTTGGATTTTGTGGGTTGAAACAAAGAGAAAAAAATAAAAAGAGGGGGGGACGTTCATTGTTATGCATATAATCAAACTATATAGTTGTTCACTCACACCCCTTCTCTTTCTCTCTTTCTTTTTCTCTCTTTCTATCTCACATTTTTTTTTCTTTTTCCTTCGAAGCTCTTAATTAACGCAAAACCTGAATATTCATTTCATACCACCCCACAGGATTCGAGGATGACCATCGGCTTTTCTCATCGCAAATTGAAGCGCTTTTAACAAAGAATCAAAAGCCGGAAGGCATCACCAATCAAAGTACGCCCAATTGACTCTTTCTCCCCCGAGTGTTTGCGCGATTTTAGATTTCAATGCTCCGAACCATTCCCACCACCACCACCACCACCATCATCCATTCAATTTCTCTTAAAACACGACGACCATGTAAAACATTGTTTTTCAATATCCTTCTTTATCGTATTTCCCGCGTTATCTGTTTAACGTTTGTCTAACTTTTTTCAAGTAGTTAAGCTTTTTCAGATATATAAATGTAATTATAATTCAATTATAATATAAACTCTTTCTTTCAAATGGGTTATATGATTTAAATTTTCACACTTAATGATAATGAGATATAAACAAATTTATATATATATTATATAATTTTTTATCTATCGATAAATAACATTATTTTTTCTCTTTCATAATAACGATAATTATATAATTTTTTTTCTTTTTTTTTTTTTTATTATCGCCTTATCGTATTCAAGAACGTCTCGAGCTTCAGGTTCATTGAAAATTCAGTCCGCACTCTTGCATTTTATGTTTTTCACCAGAGTCTCTTGGCAGACTTGTCCGAGCTCTTTGCCGGCTCTATTTGCGGTGTCGGCTGACCGTGCTTTAAGCGAGTATTCGGTTACAATTGTTGAATATGGAACGTTTTACAATTAATTGGCATAAATAGGTTAAACAATACTTTACACAAGCTACTCTAGACATTATATGTATATGAATAATGATAATAATAAAGAATCATATTTTTCTTATAGAATTACGACTACTTTTGTTTTTTGCATTATTTCAGAAAAAGTATTTCTCATCATTAGGAAGTCACATTATAGTTTTTCATAAATGGATTAATCGTATCTCCAGTATATTAAGAAAAGTTTCTATTCGTCCGGAAATTGTGTCATAATTATTCGACGTATTAATCCAACTTTCAAATAATTACAACAAATTATGGGTACTGTATCATAATAAAGCAACAAAATTATACAGAAACAAATGAAATTTGACATATATAACAATTTGTATTTTAGATGATTCAGATTCTTAAGAACAAAATTCATGGCTGCCATTTGTAAAACAGAAAAACCTTATTGATGTGGCTTATTGTTAAGATTCGTTAAGAAAGGCATAGAAAATTGAAGGAAAAATAAAAAAAAGAAAAAAAGAAAGAAAAAAAATATGAGAGAATAGAAAAAATGCGATAGCAATAAGATTGTTTGCTTAGCAATAGGCAAATGGAAAAAGGAAAAAAAGAAAAAAAAGAAAAAAAAAAGAAAAAAAAGAAAAAGATAGCCCCTGAGGCGGCACGAGACGATGAGAGCGGGAGAACGTGCCAGCTGGAAATAGGTTCGACGTGAGAGCTCGTGGTCCGGGTCCTCCTCCTCTACGTATACATGCGTATAAGTGCGTTAGAAGACATCGTCGACGAACCGCGACGATTTGTTGCCCGGGCTTCTACACGAAGCTTTTTCCTTCATTTACTCAGCTTCGTCCTTTTTTTTCTTTCCTTTTCTTTTTTTCCCCTTCTTCTTCCGTAGAAGATTATATAGCAAGTTTCTTCATTATCTTTTCATCTCTCTTCTTTTCATCCGACCACGTGATCAGCCAATACCTCAAAGTACGAATGGATCATCGAAATTCGTAGACACACAGTAGTGGTGGTGGTGGTGGTAGTAGTAGTAGTAGTAGTAGTAGTCAAGCTTTCCTGATTAGTAGGGTAGCAGGAAAGAGGGAGAAAGAAAGATAGATAAAAAGATAGACAGAAAGATTGTGAGAGAGAAAGAGAGAGAGGCTTGGAGGCAAAAGCCAAAATAACTCGAACGGGTTCTAAATGCGGCAGAGTGCCGGCCTTGCTACAGCGCCTTTAAGAATCAAGTACCACTCTAGAATGATGATTCCTATATACGAAATTCATAGGTTTTTCTTTCCAATCCTAATTTCAGTATATATGTTAACAGATGTTAAGTTATTACTTATTTCATATGTTTGATTAAGATGTTCTCATTAGATTGCATTAAGAATTTTCCATTTTAATTAGTTTCATACGTACGTTCTTCCTTCTTTTGAAAAGAAATAAACTCATTCATTGATCGAGATTAGACTATAATTTTGGTGTATTTTTTTTTCTTTTTTTTTTTTAATTTACTATCGTCTTTCGTTTAAACTTGATGAATTTAGAGCAACATCGAGCACGTGTGTGTGCTACCCCTGCATAATACATTATCCCCTACCTTCTTTCAGCTTATTACAATACTTAAAACGCGCGTAGGTACGAGAGTTTCTCTCCCATTGGGTGGATAAACTTGGCAGAAACAGCGAATTCGTATCTGTTATATCACACAGGAGAATTGCCTTGATGAGTCTATAGAGGGAAGGTCATAATTCCTTCTTAGATCACTAATAGTGATCATGAATTAAAGACAGTAAACTGTCCTAAATGCGTTCGTTAGTTAAAGCATGTATTAACATTTTCTACCGTCCCTACATCTCTTGATACAAGTATCAAGTGCCAAGTCAATGTGAAGTCGCTGAACCAAATGATATGTAACCTTTGATGGAGTTCATTATGTCGTGTATAGAGAAACGTCATGGAAGTATTCAAATATGTTTTTTTATAAGAGTACAATCAATAACTATTATCTTTAATATAAATTCAATTATTTTCAAGCGATTTCATCAAAATTCATAGTTATATAATGTTTTATATGAGCAAATAGTATTGACTGAAAAAATAATATAAAAGTAAATTTACTAAAAGTCACATGCAAACGTCCACGTGGTTTACTAATATAACACTTTATATATATTTCAATTTCGATCAATATTATATATTTTTAATTTTTATTAATAGAAAAAAAAGAGTTATGAACAAATTTTTGTAGTATAATATGATATTATTCCTCTTGTATAGATATTAATATTTGTTTATTTAATAATATAATACAAATTATCTAGGTATAAAGAAAAGAGAAATAACAGTTAACACAATGTAACATGATCACCAGTAGTAACCTATAAGTAGAACCGACCTGGCGGTTCCTTTTTGATTAGAATAAGTTTTAAATAAGTTTTGTAAGGTGGATCAATATTCGTAAGCCTCCGACATTATCATATTATTTCGTAAGATCTTTCTATCAGCTCGCTGATAGTGTTTGCAACCACCGAACAGATTCTTCCTTTATTAATGTATTACGTGTATGCATGCTAAAACGTAAGCTATGTGCGTAAAAGACAAGACAAGATTCTATTTTCCGCCCCCTACATAATGTTCTTAGCTTGTATTCGTAACAATGTAATTACGATTACGTTAACGTTTATGCAATAAGATACGAAGAGAAGAGTATAATATTCTTGAAATCCTTCCAATAAATTCTCTTCCTATCGTTTACGTCAGCGCATCGCTATCCTGCACAACAGTATTATAAAGACTCGTGTGTTATGTTCACGATTACGAGCGATGAATGATCATTCGAGGTAGTTTACTTGAGAACGGCATGGCCTTATTCTAAATAAACGTAAGAAAATCTCCATTGTAAACTGGCTACAAAAATCTAATTAATTCAAATATGGAAATGTGTATATATGTATGTATATCATTTTTAAGACGATTTATCAAAAGCATTTACACACTTTTATTTTTAAAACAATGCGAGCCAATAGAAATTCTTTCTCTCTCTTTCTCTCTCTCTCACTCTCTCTCTCTCTCTCTCTCTCTCTCTCTCTCTCTCTCTCTGTCTCTCTTATCTAACACACAAAAAAGTAAAAACACTATGAATCATCGTATAAGATAAACGTATAGGTGTCTAGAAGAAGAACGTTAGTTAAGTTTGATCAAAATTAAAATGAAAAAATCTAAAAAACAATGAATTATTCGCTAGAACAATTTGAAAAGAAGGTGTTGTAACATAAGGCATCTTCTTCAGTTTAAATAATAAATAATCCACTTTGAAGTAATAAATAATAATGGAAATAATCGAATGAAATATAACATAGGATTTTATTCTAGACACTCATTGAAATATGTATTGAGGATGATGATATATATGTGTATATATATATATAGTTGAAACAATAGTTGATTACGCTTACACCAAAACACCGCAACAAAATCCTTCTCGTTAAGGATTCTCTCGAGTTGTTTGGCAGTGACTTCTTCGATCACAGATTCCCCGTCCTTGCTAGCACCTAAGGTCCTACCACCACCCCGAGACCCTGAAGAATCGTCTTGTTTCGTCCTTGAGGCGGCGTCAACGCGACCGATCGAGGCCGTTATTGCGAGGAAGACGGTCAAAGTGGTTAACATCGTTTTTAAGGATATAAAGGAGGAGAGGGAGGAGCTCGAACCGATGCTATTCCGCCTTCTTCTTCGCCAGCACCAACACCACCGACCGAATCTTACCGTCGAACCGTCGTTCCCCGTTGACATCGTCGCACTGACTAACACGCCGCAGCTATTTTTGAGTTTTTGGACAGCGGTTTTGCCACCGTTACGATCACTATACAACAACGAAGACGACGACGACGACGACGACGACGACGACGACGAGGATCAAGAGGACCAACATAAGACATTGCAGCAATGTTTAAAAGAAAAACGACACGCACACATACATACAAGCTTTTCTATTATCATCTTGTGTCTACCGGATTCCTTTATAGTTTCCTTCCGTTTTATCTTATTGGATTCAATATTCAAAAATAGCTATGGATTGTCTGCAATTTAAATGGAATGCTTTTAGAGACCCTAAGATTTTATCATTAATATTTTTTAACGTTTGATAAAGATCATTTTGTTTCATACTTTTTCAGAGTCATATTTTGATTAGATATTATTCTTAGAATATAAAATAGATTGAAAATTATATTTAGGTTTATGCATGTTATATATTATGTGGTGGCACGCATTAGAAATTTATATTCTTATTGTAAATATAGAATTAATTGTGGTTTTTTTTTCTAATCAAATTTCATTAGGAAGTTTGAAATGTACAATTATATTGTAACAATCATATAAATTAGATCAGTGGCATAAACGAGGTAAATTAAAGAATAATTGTAGGACAGAGAAATAATTATTTGTATATTTATGCGCGCGCGCGAATAAGTTTTTGATTCTAGTAGAATTATACTGAAAAATACTTTACAAATTGCAAGTTCGATGTTTTTCGGTCTCTAAACTCTAGCCGTTATTAATACCACGATATAAAAATACTATGAGATGTGACGTCAGGAACATCTCGATTATATTGGCATTTGATACTATAACTTCGTAGATACAAATACGGTATGGGAAAGATTTCACGATAGTTTTTATATTTTATTGATCACTTTTCTTTTTAGACTTTAAACATTTATATAAAAGAAATATTGGGGGGAAACACAATATACTTTATTATATTTATTATAATTGTTAGATTACATATATACGATACATCCTTGGTGACATTACATGTGAATAAATCTGTACATTTCATTCTTATTTATATATAAATAGAAACAATAGATAATATAACAATCTTATTAATGCTTAATACAAGCATTGGTAAAAAATAGATTACAAAATTATAAACAATAGAGTAAAGTAATAATTTATATACTCTACATTTGTTTACAGAATTATGTTGACGTTTTATCATCGGCCGATGTATCAATATTTTTATCTTCACTTGACGTTTGGACATTATCTGTAGTATTCGATGACGTGGTAGCCTATTAAATAATCATTAAATATTAATACAAGTCAATTTTATATATATATATATTTATATATAAATTTGATTAAATCAATAAATACTTGAGAAAGACTAGACAAAGAAGATGATCTTAAATGTCGATTTTGAATAACGTCTGGAACTGGAGCCGATGGTTCACCATAAGTTTCATGAAGAACTTCCAACCTCGTACTAAGAGCAGAACCTCTTCTACTAGTAGCATTCATTTTGTTCATTAGCCACTGGGCTTGTTCTTCCAAACGTTTTAATCTGTCAGCTCGCGCAATCAAAACTCGTTCAGGTGTGTTAGCCAAATCTAACTCTGGTTTTGATTCTTTTAGCACGTTCTCAGAATCTTTTGAGTTGAAATTCATCATCGAGTTATTATCAGTCTCGTTAGAATTATCTACTGATTTCAATGATTCATCTTCGTTAATATTCGTTATAGATGAATTATCTGTTGTCGAGTTTATTTCATTTGAATCATTTTTTAGGGCTGGTGTAAAAAGTTGATTGGGTGAATTATTTCTAGCTACAGGAAATGGTCCAATAGAAAATATTGGCGTGGAACTAGATGCATTTAATCTAGTATTATCATTAGATATATTTTCAATTATTATCGATTCCTCGATAGAATAAGAATTTTCTTGAGTATTGGAAATATCTTCTAAGCCTAACTTTGAATTACTAGTTGATGATATTTCTTCGTCAGCTTTGATATTGTTACAAATCTCCAATATATTTGAATCAGATGTAGAACAGCACGATTGAATATCTCTATTCTCTTTCGTTTCATTATTACTAGGACAATCCGTCCGAATCGATGGGTCGTTGTTATTATCCTGATGATTATTTTCCGACCTTACGTTATCAACAAAACGCATAAATGGCAATGAAATATTTTCTCTAGAATTAAATTCATCGCTACTTGATTCCGTATCATCGTCTATTCTTATAAGATTTCTTATTACAGTAGTTAAGGCTTGATCTAAGGGATCCAAAGGTTGTTGTAAAACTTCTGAGACGAGCTGTAGACAAAAATAAATATCCTTAGATATTTCAAGAATTAACATCAATTTTGATTAACGAAAAGAAACAACAAATTTCTACGTACATCTGATTCTTGAGTATTTGTAGGCTCTACCGATGATGTTGTATCCACAATCTTAATCTCATCAAATTCAGTCTCTTTTTCTGCTACAGGTACTTGCGTTGTTAAAGCAATGGAAGAACTCGCTTCTGGTAATCCAATATCGACAGGTTGTTCCAATTCTACAGTTGACATCGTTGAAGTTTTCGGACTTTCCTACGAATTAAAAATAATCAAATTTATAAGTTAAATATTTGACTATTGTTAATATAAAAACTTTGTTGAGATTTCATATAACAAAATAATTGTTATAAACCTTTCTGGTTCTTCTTGTTAGACCCATTCGGACCCTGTCTTCAACAGTTTCATCTTCCTCGTCGGTATCGTCACCTCGTTCATCGCTGAAGCCACTCTCAGCACTACGTTCAAATATATAATTAACGTATGAAAGTTAAAATGAACAAAAATGTGTAATTTCATTTACCTGTTATTGACGGAATCGTGTACAGAAAGCATTTTCCTTGCAGCAAATTCACGACGTAAACTTCGCCATTCTAATTCAGTGTTAGTATTTTTCTGTCTCGCTGATTCCCACTTTTCTCTGCAATATTCCAATTCCAATTTCAATTCTTGTAACATTTTTCGTTTTTGTTGTAACTCGTATCTAAGGATTTTCTCGTGTGTATGCAATTGCTGATGTTGAGCTTGCATTCGACCAACAATGTTCCATGTTTTGCTTAATTCAGCAGTTACATCCGAAAGTCTTTTTTCCTGTTAATATTTCATTCAAATATTTATTCGAAATAATAAATATTATGATTAATAGTATATATATTATAGTGTCTATGTGTTACGGGAAATATATTACTACTATTATAACTAATAAATAAAAACAAGTTTCGGGCATTATATATAATGTTATTTTACAAAATGTCCAGAGCATTTTGATCAATTTACAAGATTTACTTCAGTTGGCGGTTTTTAGAGCACGGGGGAAAGGGGAGTTTTCAATTTTCATGTTGTTTGTTTCACTTATACGAGATTAAAAACACTTCCCTCCTCCTCCTCGTGTTCTAAACACTGCCAACTGAAGCACATTCTATAGATTGACCGAAACCCTCTGGGCATTCTATAGAATGACCGAGCAATCTGTGAAATACCTGCTCATTATACGCATTGCCCGTTTTACGTGGGCATTCTATAAAATGCCGTTAACATATATAATTACCTGTTCTCCTAGTTTGCTTTCCAAATGCGTGTTCAATTGTTTCATTCGATTCATTTCTTTTTCCAAATGTTTCTTTTCCAGAATTAATTCCTTCAAGTGAATATAAGTTTTACTAACAGATATCACCAATTTTGGGCCACTAGGTGTGTCAACAGATTTATAACAACTGTTGGAATCCGAAGAAGACGTTGCCGATGCATTTTGTGAAGCAGCAGCGTGACAACTTAACAACTCCAACAAAACGCGCCATACCTTCGTATCAACAAATTACACAAAAATTTAAAATATGTAACTAGAAAAATTATTTACAAATTCATTAGTTATATATATGTATTATGTATTATGTTCGATGCCTAAGAAAAACTCTCCAAAAAGTCTCATTTCTGACTTCGTCTGAAGGCTCTTCACATTCATAGTAATGCCGAGGATTTACTAGTAATGTCTGATTTCCGGCTTTGACAGTAACATAAGTGTGTGTGTGTGTGTGTGTGTGTGCATAATTTTAAAAACCTTTGGTAAGTTATGAGCTATTTCTTCATGCTGTTGATCATCCTCGTTACGTTTTTGTAATCCTTTATTACCATCAACTTGTTCTACCAAATCTAACAAGAGTTTTGGAAGTGCTGCAGCCTCTGTGCAATTATCTCTTGCTATGTCAGTTATGAGATCACGATTTTCCTATATAATAGAACATGATAAATATATAATTATGATCACATTATAAAAGAAAAGGAAAAGCAATAGTACCTGTAATAATTGTGATAATCTATCCAAGTCCATGTCAGCGGAAGAAGCTCCCAAAAGCATTTGAGTGAACAAACTGTTGATTAGCGACATTTGATTTTGAAGATCTCTACAGTCTGCTTTGGTTAAACCTAATTGAGATTCTAGGTTTGAGATCTCAGTATCTTGGGCGTCAATCTAATTAAAAGAAAAATATTAAAGCATTTAAGAAGAAATAATAAAAACATTGATCGAATTTACCTTCTCTTCTGCTTTTCTGAGATCTTCTTCTAAACCTTCGCGCTCCTTTGAGGAATGTTTCAGGTTTTCCTTAACATCGATAAGTTCTTTAATAGCGGTATCCTTTAATTCAGTTATTACTCTTAATCTTTCATTGTACAAACTCTTCAAACTGTTGATACTTTCCAATTGACGTTCACATTCTGCACTAACGTCATCGGTATCCAAAAAAGTTCTGTCATTTAATCGTGCCAGATTACGTGCTAAATAATCTTTCAATTCATTAGCACGATGTTCACGCGTGTTCAAAGTATCTCTCGTCTTGTTCGTAACGTCGGTTAAACAACGAATGATATATCGGTGTTGTTCGGGTTCACTTTCGAGTTGATATCGAAGATCATCCACCTTCTCTATTTGGAAACGAATATTGTTTCGTAATTCATCAGAAACCTATAGTACAAATTCAGTATATATCAAGTTAAGAAAATATAATCTTTAGATCAATTATAATCTAACTTCAAACATATGAGTATATTATTGTATTTACCTTTAAAATACTACTGAGTCGTTGAACCTCGATACGTCTAAGCAATATTTCATTGTCATCCGAATCTTCATCGATAGATTTAGATCTCTTATTACTTCTATTATCACAAATCACAGTATTATCATTCTGATGACTAGATTGAGTTGATCTCAAGAGATCAAGGACCCTAGATGTCTCAGAATGAGCTTCCTTTTCTGCTTCTAATTCTTGCCTAAGTCTTTCCATTTCAGATGATACTGCAGCAATAGCTCTCTGTCTTGCTTCTCTCTTCAATATTAATTCTTTCTTGAATAAATCCATACCGATAGTACGATCTGTCGTAGAATCTTCAGAAATCTCGTTCGATTGTGTAGAGTCTGTAATTACGAATTCTTCTACGTCAACAACATTTTTGCTCGGTAATTCATTAAAAACTTACCAATATCATCTTTTGCAATAGTCTCCTCAGTATTTTTCATATCAGTCTTCATAGCTTCCTTCAGTCTTTGAATCTCGTTCAGTGCTTCTTCCAAAGTCTTCATATGTTTCTTTTTATCAGATATTTCCTCGACTAGCTGTGCCTTCAAATTCCCAACTTTCTCATTCTCCATATCTTTAATCTGTTCATTCTCTGTAATAACCCTTTTCAATTCTCCTTCTAAACTTGAGATCCGAGCTTCGGCAGTGTCTTTTTCTGACTGAAACGAGGTTATTTCCTTCACCATGTTTTCCATTTCGTTTTTAGATAAATCGAAGTCTTTTAGAAGCTTCTCATGCTGATTTCTACGTTCTTTTAAGCTGCATTCTAAATGTTCGCATTGCTCTCTCAAGATCTATGTTAGGGAATATAAAGCATTTTTTGTAATATTTTGTTAAAAAAGAAATCAACAAAATCCATGAATAACCATGCGCGAGAGAATAAATATTAGTAAGTAGAATAGTTATATTTCTATTTATATGATTATTAAGGTTAGTATCATTTTATTGTAGGAAACAAATGTGTTACTTGGAATGTTTCTAAAATGAAAATAAAAAGAAGAATTAATAAAGTTTTACTACAAAAAAAAAAAGCAATCAGTAAAAGCCAAATCTCGAAATCTCTTTCAAATCTAAAGAGATTTGAAAAAGAAATGATATGTACCTCATAATCCTTACATAACTTTTCAGTATATTTTTTTTGTTCCGCGATATTCGCATTTAATCTTTCGTTCGTATTTTGATATTCGACTTTGTCAGCCTTAAGTGCACGTAATTCTTCGAATAATTGAATCATTTCGTCGTCAGTCAATCTTTCGGCGTGGCCCTGATCATGTTTTTCGTACGATCTCGTCTTTTTCTCGAAGATTTTATCCGAATTCGTATTACAAGGTACCTTTGTAAATAAATTTTTTTAGTCAGAAGATTCTTATGAAATAAAATAAATGATTGAAGTAAAATTAGATAAAAGATACTTGCCCCTCTAATTTCATTATTCCGTACGGTCATTTCTCCTTCTTGAGAATTAGTTGAGTGTTCCCTATAATATCGATTAATTCGTGAAAATTGTTCTGAACTATGCGATTCATTAGATTTATCTACTTCTACGCGAGGTACTCTATCCTGAAAGATATTTTTCTGTTGATTTCGAAAAACATTAGATCTTTCAGATACAACGCTTTCTAGCCTATCGATACGACGTTCGAGTTTTATTCTCGAGTCATTCTCTTCTTCGGGCTCTCCTTTTGTTTCCTGGCTCGTAAGTTTTTTCCTCGAAAGAATATTAGACGAAGTTAATTCGCTATTATTGGAAATTAATTTCTGTGAATTTTTTTCCCTTTGTAATTCCAGATAGAGCCCCTCCAATTGTGCCAACGCTGTGGTATGAGCATTAGCCAATTGTTGATTAGCCTTAGCTAATTGTAAAATAATCTGTGAAAGCTCCATATTTTCGCGATGCTGTAACCTCAAGGAAGAATTGCTAGCTTCTCCAACTGCTTTCCAATCTGTGGTTCGTGTAACGTAAGCCATCTGTAAATTGAACAAATGAATAAGAACACATCAAAAATGATGTCTACGATAAAAAATGATTAATCCGAAGAATTATACGACTGTGACTCATTGTCAGAAGTATTTTCCAAGTAAGTACGTAGAAAAACGGTGTTCTAGTGTTTAGTTTTTGGACATGAGCCAACTCGGACCCAGCTATGGCGGATCAGAATGAGAAGCACGTGCAAACATAACAATGATATTGCAATTAAATATGTAATTGCTATTTATTCTTGATATTAATACATGCTGAGATTTAATTATAATAATGCTCGATTTAGAAATCGTTAAAAATAAATAAATTCATAAATCAATGTGAAATGAATGTCAAGCATTTCCAAAGCTATTGTCGATAAAAATAATTGAAATGATTGGATAACCTGTGCTCGAGGTTCTCCAGTAACGTTGTAACCCGTAGATCTCAAACTATCTTCATTTGCACCATCAACACAATGAAGAATATTATCTTCGGCGAAGTTAACTTCGATCGGATTTTCAGTGTTCCTTGCTCTCAAAGGAATCGATGATGCAGAAGAAGATGGCAAAATATTACTAGTGTTTGCAGCACCCATATCCGCTTAATATAGTATTCTTGTCGATGACGAAATGCAACAACTTTGGACTTTGGGAAATAATAGAAGCTACTTTTCGACGAAACTATCTGAAATATTTATCTGAAATTATTGCAACACATAACATATTTGATTTTCATTTTAAAAATAGAATATCCTTAGGTAAATTCCACGAATATGAGTTCGATTTATTAATATTTTGTTTTTTCATTTCTAGCATTATATTTAATGACGTAGAAAAAGAAGAAAAAATAGATAGAAAGATAGGAAGAAAGAATGGAGAAGGGCCAAGAGATCAAGATCTGAATAAAAGGATCGTTTAAATGAAAGCAGAGCGAGCGATAATAATACTGAGCTGGTGCAAAGCCATGTATTGGCATCGCAGAAAAGGAGAACAACAATATGTCACTAAGTAATTTAACTGATAATCGATCTAATCAACATTTGTACGATCTTATGATCGCAGGTAACAAAGAACTGCGGAGAGATGTTAGAAAATGTACGATATATGTATGCATATATATCGTATACATACGATGTAGCAACAAGATTGCTCATCGTTTAAACAATTTGTATAAAATCCTTCTCCTTGTGTCTAGATTATCACGTCGAAAACATCCAACAATATAAACTGTATAAGAATCTTTCAAATACGAAGCGTCATGCGAGTACATCTAAGAATAGCTTGATTCACGTTTGAAAACAATGATCAAATGAAATATTTTATTGAAACAATTGAAAACAAAGCGATCACGGTAAGTTCGTATGAATCTTATCGTAAAATCGCATTTAATCGATTATGCTAATAACTATGTAGACTGCTTAGAGCTATTTCAATTTATATTACCAATCACATTGTATTACTTCATTTTATTTCATTTAGAATTGATAATTTTGTTGCTTAAAACTGATCTTTCGATTTATTAAAATGATTTATGTAAAAACATTTGGAAAAAATTGTTAATAATATTTCCAACTCTTTAAATTTAGAACCAATTGGAAAAATACATGAGCAAAGCATTAAGTATTACCGACTGAACAATCGGTTAGAAGTTATTGGCTTAGAAAGCAAAGAAGCTTGATCTCCAAGTGCGCCAGTAAAAGAGCTTTTTTTAGCCTGAATTTGGCTCGGTTCTTAGACATAGACAGAGCAAGAGAGAAAGAGAAAGAGAATCCTACCTGTGGGTGAAAAAGAGAAGCTTCGAAACTACTATAAAACGCGATTGTTCTACCTGAGAACAATGAGCAGCTTTTGAAGAGAACAAAAAATGATTGTTTCGCGATAAGAAAGATTTAAAAAAAAAAAAAAACATATCAACACGACACGTGTAGGAAGGTATAAAAATGATTGAAAACTTAATGTCTTTCATTTTATCGAGAACAAATAAACAAGCTGTTTTATTTTATTTGAATTGTTATATTACAGATCTGGTTGGAAAATTGTATGTACAAAAATACTTTTGTCAAGAACGACGGTCAGTGAACGCGAGTACAAAGAAGGATTAAAGAAAGACACAGAGTTAGTCACAGAAACCTTGAATTAGAGAGTTAACGTATAGATATAGAATTTAAGAACAAACGGATGTATAAATTCGTCGAGTTTATTTTATTATATATTGTTATATTTTAAATAAATAGAATCACCGAAGATATCTATGTAGAATGTTAAAAAAGAATATAAAAACTTTTTGTTCGAAGATAATCTTTGTATTTCATACAGAAATATAATTTTATTTTGTTCTTTTTCAGGTAAAGTAGATGATAAAAGCAATATAAGAAACAGAGGATTACAGATAGATAATAAAAAAAAGAAGAAAGGATCTAAGAGAATAAGTTATAGTGATACATTAAGCTTTCACAGAGTTGGATTTTGTTAGGATCTACTCACTACTGGTCACCCGATTAGTTAGCTACGTGTATTCGGCTTATTTGAGATCAAGAGCAATGACTACCGTTGTCGCTGGTAGCCAGCGACTTACTTCTCTAAAAATACCATTTCGAAAGACCGCGTGCGCTTTGCATGTCGACAAACGCGCAGGAAATCATTGCGCAGTCGCGATAGAAAATTCCATATGTAAACGTTTTAACAAAAACAAGAAGAAAATGTATATAGTTATGTCTTTATTTATGGATACTGTATTGCTCTCATGACGAAGAATTCAGTACGTCGAATGATATTGATCAAACAGTATTTTTCTTTTCTCTATTTTTTTTTTTTTTATCACAAAATTTCTTCTTTATTTATTAAAAAAACACAACATATATAATATTATATATTTTAATTATTATTTACTTCATTTAAAGGTTATTATAATATTTGTAAAATACAGTATCATCTTTAGATTTACATAGAGATACATGAACTCGTTATATTCTTCCAAATAAAAATGAACAACTGAAATAAATGTATACAGAGGATTAACATAAGGAATTGTTTTTGGGATGAAAGCTAGAAAAAGAATTCACAAAAAAAGGTTTAGATAAATTAATTAATAAATAAAATGAAATTAGTTAAATTCTTGTACAGTAACTAATAGTCGACAAGTAAAATCAATCTACATTGTAAATGTATACCGACCAATAAACGTTCGTTCATAGGGTCAATAGAAAGGGAAGGAAGGATTCAGCGCCGTCTATGAAACGTTGGATGAAGTCAAACGTAACGATAGATTTGGTTTTTAGTCGAAGGACTTGAAGAAATCGAACTCGGAAGCAAAGATTTTCCCTCGCAAAAGAGAGATTCAAACATTGGCGCCATAAGAGTGAGCGAGGTGGCGCTGTAGTTTAGTTTAAGCGATGAAGGAGTGGGGGCTTAAGTGGCGCCGCCGGCTCGTCTCCTCGCACACGCGCTTCAGTGCCGTAGCGATCGTTTTGAGGGAAGGATTGTATTCTAGTCGTCCTCGAAATCGCGAATGCGTCCAAACGTCCGTGAGTCCTCTTGGCGGGTCTTTGCTCGAGACAACATAGAAGGGGTTCAAGAGCAACAAGGAAAGCGAAGAAAAAGAAGCTGACGTTTTGTATAAATCCAAGGAATTAAAATCAAATAAGTCGGTGAGAAGAAGAAAAGGAAATCAAATATCAAGGTTAAAAAAAGAGAGATTACGTACAGAAGGAAATTAGATTATTTTTTCAAAAGGGGAAATAAGAGAAGGAAGAAGAAAAAAGGAAGGAAAAGTAGATACCTGCTAGGGGCACCAATAAGGATCTCATTGTTTGCTTGGTGTTACCACGCGTATAATATACATATATCCTGATTAACGAATTCAATTTGGCTGGTGCGTTTGCAGACACGAGACTGCCTGTCCTAAGGCGGACGTTTCGAAGGTGAGTGCACCGAGGACAATGCGTCGGCGCGATCAAGCACGCGGTTATCTCTCTCTCATATATACATCTATATATATTGCGTGTCAAAAGAAATTATATTATTTTATTTCGCGTTTCAATTTGTGTACTTTGCTTTTCCTGTTATTCATCATCAACGTCTACGACTTGGGCATTTTATCGATGCGTTTTCTTTTTCCTCTTTCTCTCTCGCTCTTCCTTTTTGTCCCCTCTATCTTCCGTCGATACGATCCGCGTTTGAGCGAGCTATCTGATAAATATTTTATCTCTATATGAATAAGAGAAATCGCGCTCGATGTCTAGGCGACGCTTTTCTCCTTTTTTTTCTCCCTCTTATTCTTCCTATAAATATTGAAATCCTTAACAGTGACGTAGCAAAGTTTTTTTTTTACATTAATGCAACTTTTATTATTTTTCTCCTCATTCTTTTTCTCTCTCTCTCTCTCTCTCTCTCTCTCTCTCTCTATCTATATATATATATATACATAACATTTACTTTGCAAAGTATGTACATAGAAAGAGTATACGCATGCATACAAAAAACGTAAGCTGCGAATATGTGTTGCCTAGCCTTCTGCGTGAAACGTACTTCGATCTTTGTCGAACACTCGTGTCGTTATACGTTATGTCATCGACAACCGTGTATATGGACGTTGGATATTTTTATTTTCATATATTTCTAAATTAATATACATATACATTTCCTTTTTTTTTATTTTATTTAAGCTCTATTTATTCAGAGTGTTACCATGTTGCGTTCAATGATTTTTTCCTGTGAAAATGCACATATATACACACATGCATACACACACGCGCACACGAACATGTTCATAGAAAGCGAGAAAGAGAGAGAGAGAGAGGGAGATAAATGAATGTAAGAAAAGGGTCAATCTCTATCTCTGTAATTCGTGTTAGTGTGTTCATTTTGTTTAGACGAAAGATGTTAGAGTAGGTAAGGTCGTTTTGACTTAATGAGAAGGTAAAGATACTCTCTTTTTCTCTCTCTCTCTCCTTCCTTTGCCGATGTTCATCGCATCGGCTTCCTAAGTACACCTAACGGAAGACCCTCCAGTGTGTGACCTTGATCGGTGAGCCAGCATAGCAGCATGTCCGAACAACGCGCGTCGATAATTCGTGTCGTGCGTTCTCCGTCTCTTCGCGTTCTTTCTCTCTCTCCACTTTTCGTTTTCCACCTATCTCTGTCTACCTTTTCCAGGTCATTAATGTGTATATAATCACTCGTGTGGGACTAACATATTTCTTATTTTCTTCATTAATATGTATATGCATACGTGGATGGGTGTGTTAACTTATGCATTTCTAATAGACATTTGCTTTTTAATTTCTCAAGTTTCTCTATATCTTCCTCCTTTGTGTATATTTCGTAATGATTAATGTCAATTTTCTAAGAGTTATGAATCATATTCGTAAGAAACGTTCGATTTGTTTCTTTTATCAAGGTAAACAATTTTTTGTAAAACATTTATCTGTGTGTGTAGAAATATATTAATAATATTCTTCTTTTTCAATGTATAAAAATGAAATTATGGATATATTTTTTTATTTTCTAAATTCTATTAGTAAGTCTTTCATACTGAAGACATTATTGCATAAAGTAGGTAACTTAACTAGCTTCACAGATTACGTTCTTCGTACTTAGAGTTTCTATCCAACGACGAGAGGATACACGAAGGATTAGGATCGTAACCGAGTTAATATCGATTCGACCGTTTCTCAATAACGTCGTTGCACTAAAGTGAACCTCCGTTGGTCTCGAACGAAACGCAAATAATATCCTTCGGCTCATATTCATACGACGTTGATTTTTCTACAATTTTTGGTTTTTTCTTTTTTTTTTTTTTTTCATTTAAATCATTTGTTTCTTGTTATTCATCGATTTATTAGCATAACATCGTAAATAGATTAATTAACATAAATATAAAATGTTGCTTATTAAAATTAATAAATCATGTAATCGCTTAGAAATTCACTTTGGTTTTGCGTGTAACGTAAAAGATATTTGCGTCAGAAGGTAAGATGGATGATCGGAGTGGTCGAGTAACAGGTGTAGAGAAGTCAAACGTGTCAAGATAATTCTATCCATCTATGAGGAAAGTACCTGTATGATTCATAGAATTTATTTAGCAATGCTTCTAAGTATCAATTTATAAATAATAATAATTGTATATTCTATATAGTCTATGGTCTTTTTGGTCTATTTGTTCAAAAGAAACAAATATTTGTAGGATGTAGTTTCAATCGGTTACGCAAGAAATACATATAAATACATAAATAATGATTATTTTGACAAAATAGCAGATATGTCGCGGTAAGACGATTACAAAATTTTGAAGAGGCAATCGCGTGTTTTCTTGATATTTTTCTAATTATAAGTAAAACTCTTTTTGCTTTATTCATAAATTGATCTGTTTGTTCATCCTAAAGAAATGACTATTCTCGATAAAGCAATACCGATATACTGGTCGTATATTTCCATCCCCCAAATATCGATTATGATCTATACTCCATTACGACATATACAAGGCTCTTATGGAAATTATAGCTTGGTTAGAATCAGTAGATTGAATAGGAACACAAAGTTCAAGTCGAATGTAATAATTAGGTTCTTCAATCGATCAAAATAATGGGATGTTACCCATTTTTCAGTTTTTAACTTTATTTTTAACAAAAATCTATTGTATACAAGTCGCTCAGAAGCCGGCAATGCGGTTAAATCCAGAAAATAAAAATTGAGGGAATAAATGTTTTGAAAATTTTTGGTTTTTTAAGTTGATCAAAAAAATATATAAAGTCTTTTTTCAAAGGAAAGAACAACAAAACAAACTATGTACAGAATGTGTAACTAAATACATAAATATTTATTGCTACAGTGGCAGCATTTATAAAACTCTATGATCTTCACCTTTTGGCAGCTAAAAAAGATTAAACAGAACGAAGCAACGAGTAAATCTTTTAATAATAAAAAAAATATTGTTTATTCTCTTAAAATTAATGAAAATAAGAAAATATCAAAAAATGGACTTAACTGCATTGGCTTTTGAGCGACTCGTATATATCATCTCGACTTCGTGCAGAATGATCCACAAATTAATAAATTATTTTCTAAATCAATAATATATATAAAGCTCTATTAAATAAATATTGGAATGATAGTAATAACAAACATGATACTATATCGTAATTCCTTTTATAAAACTTGAATCGTTTTACGTATGTTACATTGCACATTGAACTTCATTAACATGCGTTGTATAAAAAGGTGTCGTCGTAGAAAAAAAAAAACATTTTTTCATTCATTTACTTATAGATTATTTTTATAACATACTATATTTTATAAATAACATAGATTTTATTTTTATATTCCATTATACATACCGTTGAGTCACACTTAGGGTACAACAGGTGCAAGCGCACACGCAAGACCGAGCAACGTGCGTGAATGATATATTACACGGATTGTGATAATTACTTAGGATATCCAAAATCATTATTAAAACTAGCCAGAAGGATATAATTAGTAGATATATGCTTTATTTTTCTTTTCGAATGAACCAAATAATGGTATTTCAATTGTAATCACATTGACCATTCACTAATGATACTTTATTGTCTGGTATTATACGGTTCAACAACCGGATGTGAATAATAGTTAGCTAGGCAAACACACATCGTACTAAGTTCATTCAAAATATTCGCAATTACGCATATGTATTAGGCTTACGATCAGTGTTGCCAGATCAAAACTTTAAATCTCCTCATTCACTGCTGCAAACAATCATTACAAAAATCCCTACCGCTTAATTTTAATTGATTTATTTTCACGTGATACTACCGAATCATGTTTTACACATGATTTAAATCAGTTAGTTTGTATTTATACATTATTAATTTTTCTCGTCAATCTCTCTTTTTTAACAATTTTTAAAAAAAAAAAGACTTAACACACATTACCACACAAATACGTTTAATTGCTAAACGTTGCTACAACTAATAAATATGACAAATATAATAAATATTTATAGCTTATATTTAACGAAGATAATTTGTTTAACAAAACGCATTTAACTAAGTAATTGTACATACTTATTGCAAGAATTTATGTTCAATCTTTTTTTTTTTAAACGAAAAATAGGTTAACATATTTTACAAGTGAAGCTTATTGTTTCTCTATGTAAATGGTACTTGCAAAATATCAGAAATATTGTGGGATTACAGACCGTCGTGACTATTTAATACTATATTTTAATTATTATATTGACCCTTAAATAATTGCAAGGAAAATAAAATGAAAAGAAAATTATAAAAATATTGTTTGAAAGAAAAGTCAGTAATAAATTTACAAAATTCTCCATTCTACTGAAATTCTCAGTACTTCTTCAGCTTCAAATTTGAAGAATTGAAAATCATCATTAGTGGACAAAAATTCTCACCTCTGGCAACACTGATGAAGCTTCTCTCTCTCTTCCTCTCTTTCTTTTTTTTTGAATCGAAGAATATTCAAAGATGATATCATCTTCTATTATAGACGATAACTAAGTTTAACGACAAATAAACAATTTATTATAGATTAATTATAATTTGATTTTTATTATTTTCTACAAAAATTATTAATACCGTCGATATCAGGAAAGAGGATGATAAGTAAGAGGAAAAAAAAAATAAATGTTATTTAATGATAGCACAATTAACGTTGGAGTTAGGCGCGTTCGTGCTTCCGACTATTCTCCAATTAGTCGAGAAAGCTATACCCTACTTATAGTAACGCTTTTCGTGGCGTTTTTAAGTGGAATCTCAAAACGTCCCTCACCTTAGCTGGTAAGTCTGAAATATATTACTACTACTATTTTACTATAGTCAAAGAATTCTTCTTTCGTTACCAGTATACCTGTCTAGTCTTCAAATGAATTTAGTTTCTTTCTTCTTTTGCATTCCATGTCCTTCCACGAATTAAAGATATGCCCCCTTTGAGCACTTTGTCGCATAAAATAAGAACTAATTATCTCTTTTTTTAATTATTGCTCATTTTCTATATATATATATATAAAAAAAAAAAAGATAAAAGAAAAATCAGAAAATATCTTTCTTAAAATGATTATTCGATCAAATTCACGGGGAGGACAAAAAGTGAGCCAAGACACGCGAGCACCACTTCACATCCCTATCGGATATCAGGCAGAAACACCTGACGCGATGTTCTTTTTTCTCGACATTCCTGAGAAGGTTGTTAAGGTCCACACGCTCCTCTTGTATATTGCTCCCCTTAGATAATTTATGTGGGTCAGATAATATTTCTTTATTCTCCATCAGCTGTTCTATGACTCATTCAACCCTAGTCTTTATTTTATCTTTTTATTATTCTACATTTATAATTTGCAAAAAGAAATATATACATACACATATATGTATATCATAATTATCAACAAAGTGAAAAGAACGTTTTAAAATACGATTTTGTTCTCTTTATTATCCTTCTATTTAACATATGTGCATTATCATTCTACCTTTTGCACCTTTCACTGTTTCTATTGTGTTACAATAATGGACATTCTCTCTTTTTCTCATTTGAAAATCTTTCTAATTGTAAATGTCGTGCAGTTATAAAAGAAGCCCTTGGGTCGCGATGGCAAAGAATTCAACTTTTATTCTTCCCCCTTTCCCTCATTTGCATACACGGTTACCGAGAATGCATGTATGTTCCACTTTTGAAAGGCTTCCACTGATTGGATAGCTCTACTCGTCGCGAGTCATCTAATCTCGTCTGAAACCTCTAAAAAATATCTTATAATTATTACACGAATTATGCTAGTTTTCTGCCAACGACTTATTACGATTAACCAAGGAAAAATATTCCCAGTGGATAATATAAAAAGCGGGACAAAAGTTTCTACGTGATTTTTACGCATCGATTAATCTTACAATTGTCACTAGAAATAGATCAAAAAGAAATTGTAAAGCTTGTTTTTTTAGATCCTCCAAAATATTTATTTTGAACTGACGCAGTGAACCGAATGAACCGTTTTTTACGTGCACGTGAAATTTTGTACAACCACCCGAAGAAAATACATTTTTCAATATTAACATATATAGTTGGACATTTTAATTATTGTTTTACACAAAAAGAAAAACTTACTCGCTAATTAGACTTTTTTTTGCACAACGATGCGCGTTTATCAAAAATATTTGGTTTTTAAAGTATTACGTATTTGACGTTCGATGTTACTTTAATGTCTATTTATATATTCGTGACGATTGCGTTTATTATAAAGATATACTATAGTTTTTTATGTGTACTTGATATAGAGACACTCAAGAATTGAACTCGAGTGACGTATAAGTTCTAAAATCTATTACATTCGACGATCGGGCACGTCACCTTGATGCCGAGGTTAATCCATCACAGATGTTCCACTTTGCGAGTAAATCGATATAAAGACCAATTCAATGTGCTATTCCTTTTAATTATCATTCATATCCAATTAGGACTTTTTAAATTATTATTAAACTAAAATTAACTTAGTAAAGTATATATATATATATATATAAATATATGGTCAAATTTTCATTTCTTTCCTTTCAAGGTCATCCAAAAGCCATAGTATACTATATCGTTGAATTCGTATTAATATGGGCTATAATACTGTAAAGTCAAAAATACTAAGCGCCATTTAAAAAAATAAAGGTAACCTTAAAAAACATTAAAAAAACATTTTTTGCAAACTTTTTCTTGTTGCAATGTATAGTCAGTCAAAAACAGATAAACTTTTGTTTAAAGTATTTTTTTGTCAGGTTATCGCAAGTATTTGAAAAATCGTGACTAGTGTTATGTGAGACACCCTGTATATCTATTTTAATAAATTATATATAGATAAGAGGATAAAATATTTCATTAAAATATTAAATTCGTGGAAATTTGTAATGAATTTATAATGAGTTCTAATGAATTGTCGTGATAATTCATAATTCATTCGTCGAAAAAAAATGTCTTTTAAATAGATCCAGCAAAATGATTCCCGATTTTTACCAGCCAATGCTTTAGGTTCTTCTTAATCTAATCTTGATGATTAATGGAAAGATAATTCTCTCAAACAAAAGATACGAATAATTCGTATCTTCATATCAACGTGTATTTTTAACGACGAAATCAAATTTTCAGTAGTGTTGACCATCATTTTATATAATATATATATATATACATACGTATGTACATATATGACCGTAATGAGGTCATACATACGTCAAATATTTCATGCATACGTATACATATAAACAAAATGATATATTATAAGTAAGATATATTATAGATATATTAACATACACATGTTATTGCATGTAATCTCGTTGCAACACCCGGACTATATTTCCCATTGTAAATAAGAACGTCCTTTCTTGTCGGAGATTTAACATTTAAGGGGATTATTTGGAATTACTATGAAAGCTAAGGTCGACGATCCTTTTTTATACTAAGGAATATAAGAGGGTTGTGCATGAAAGAGGGTATAGGATCGGCGTTAGGCCAGACGGCGCCAGTCGTTCTGTCTCCTTGTGTTTATAGAGGGAGCCTATATCCTATATACTTTCCATCTTCTTTTCTTTTTCTATATGTACATATATGGATCTGTATATGTATTTCTATGTTTATGACTGAGTATATCCGGTTAAATTTATATGCAAGTAGTACGAAAGTTTGACCGTATACGGAAATGAAAACGTACGGAACAGCGAATAATATGAGGAAATTCAATTGTTTTTCCGGGCCGTGTCCTTCGGCATTTTACTCTTTCTCTCTCTCTCTTTTGCTTTATCTCTCTCTTCCACCATATACACGTACATATCTACTGTATATGACCCATATTTTCATCGATAAAGCTGTTTATTTTTAGATCCTAACGTACACCAAAAGCATTTTTCGGTCTTGACTTTCCGGTCTTGAAAAAGAAAACGTTCGATATAATTGTACGTATATATATATATATAATATTTATATTTATTATTTATTAAATTTTTATTAATGCATAATATATCGATATTAAAAAAAAAAGAAAAAGAAAAGAAAGTAAAGTAAGCGTGTTATTTATTTGGAGTGCTTATTCAGTATTATAAACACGAAATAATACAAAAAAAAAAATGTTATTGAATATAGAATTATTGGTTTCAGCTGAATGAGGCTGATGGAACCTTTGCGTATCGCCCCGGATGTCGTCGATATAAGTGCATTGAAAAAATGGACCGATTTTCCTGTCCAACATCGATTCACGGACTATTCGAATTCTATCGACGAACCGAGCCATCACACCATTAGTCCATTCCCTTGTCAACCTGCACTTAACAACAAAATCGCATTATGGTAAGTTATTTATTTAATTATTTATTTCACGCAGTATTATTCGATTCTCGGTACAAGTTATTATCATTAAAAATGAGCTTACCCGTAACTACCAGATATTTCATTGTTTATATTTATTTGACAGGACTGGCGATATATCGGTATTACAAGTCGACGCCGTGATAAACTCCACGAACGAGACAATGGACGAAAATAGCATCATGTGCCAAAGAATATTCGATCGAGCGGGGTCAGCACTTAAGATGGAAATCTATAACGAAGTGAAAGGTGCGCATTTTATTTCCCATATACAAATTCATTGTTATAACGCTTACTTCTATCAAAATCTAATAAATCCATATTATAATAATCATTTTTGCAGAATGTAAAACTGGAGAAATCCGAATAACTCAAGGACACGGCTTACCTGCACGGTTTATCATTCACACGGTTGGCCCATTTTACAATATCAAATATCAAACAGCAGCTCAGAACACTTTGCATTGTTGCTATAGGTACAATATTTATTACTATACTAGTATACAATAAGAAATCAATCGATTATCAATTGAGCCTATGATTATGAAGAGTGATCTAATTCTAAGAAATATTAAGATAGATATAAACAATGTGTGGTGTTTCAATAGAAACAATTCTACTGATTCAAGAATAAATATTAGGGGGAACGGAAAGTCATGTTTTAATACATTCAATTTCAAACACGGGTTTGAAATACACAATGAGCTGATAAATGATAAACAAATATTGACATGCGCGGTTACTTTCCGGTTTCCCTAATACATTTCATTTTTCCGTGTTATTCGTTGCAGAAAAATCATTTCAATCCAAATGGTAAAAAATAAGTATCTCAGAATGAAAAATATATGATAAGACCACTTTCATAATCACTAACTCTCAATAGAACAAATATTTGACGACTTTGGTCGATATTCAAATATTTAAAAATATATATTAATGTTATTATTTGTATTTTTTACAGGAACGTATTACAAAAATCTCGAGAGCTTGGGTTACGTAGTATCGCTTTGCCGGTAATCAACTCGGTGAGAAGAAATTATCCACCTGATGCAGGAGCACATATAGCACTCAGTATGTGAACATCTTAAGAATCTCGAAACTTTTGATAGAATATATTTCAAATACGTATTTAAGTGTATAATTTTTCATCGTAGGAACGATAAGAAGGTTTCTGGAACAATATTCAGACTCTCTGACCTGTATTATTCTCGTCCTAGAAGCCTGTGACCTCGGTATATACGAAATACTTCTGCCACTATATTTTCCAAGAAATTTGGCGGAACAGGACAATGCTTGCTGGCAGTTACCTATCGATTTAGGTGGAACGGATGGAGAACCACTGTTACCTGATCGTCAAATTAGAATTATTGACAATCCTCAGCATGCTTTACATGGTAATAGTAGTTAAATTATAAATTAACGTTTAGTTAGATTTTGAGGTTCTTTATTATTCAAGAATATGATTAGATCTCTTTAGATGTTTAAAATCTTCGTTATCGCAATGAGCAAAAAAATAACCGAAGACTACGATTGGCACAATCAAATGGCTATGTTAATACAATTTATAATTATTTCTTGTTTATATATTATCAACGATTTCGTTTAATCATTCAAATATGTATTACTTGCGTATAATCTAAAGAATCATTTATTTTTCAAAAGGTTCAAGTTCAAATCAGGGCAACTGTTAGGAATCGATCATACCGTTAAGTGGGTCATTCGGTAAATAGATATGGCAGTGTGCATTACTTGGATGGATATCGAATTAGTCGATCGAATCGGGACGAGAGTGTAGGACCTTAAAGCACTAGAAATAGATAACTATTATTCGATTTTTATACGAGTAACCTTTCATCGAAAAAAAAATAGATTATAATATATTATTTACTTTTAAAACGTTCTTATATCTGACAAAGAATTATACACGGTGAGCCGAAATAACGTATTTACCTTTAGAGATCATTTTTATTGTTACATTGTAGAAAAGTTCCTAAGTCTTGTAGTTTTACAATCTAAATAATAAAATTAGTGTAAAAAGCGTAACTGATTTTAATAATTAACAAGAAACCTTTGGCTCGCTTTGTATTTTTCTTATATTAAACATTTTCATTTAAACGTTTTAATCAGTTCTAACAAAATATTTCTAATACAAAAATTTATAAAATAACTTGAAATATATATATACATAGTTCAAAAAATACAGAAACTTTATTTCGTATGATATACATATGTTATGAAAGAATATTTATATCAGTATATACAGAAAACATCAACGTATGTTGCCAGACGACGAAGAAACTGTGGAACTTTCTGCACAATTGGAGACATCTGTAAATATCGGGGAACATGCATTTGCACAAATGCAAGGTGACTTGGATCGACAAAGGCTACTCGGAGAGAGATCGGTCACTGATCCTCTTGCTGATATCATGATCAAACAGATGCAACAAAAAGAAAGGTTAGTATTTGTTTTACGCGCAATTATGTGAATTCAAAAGATCATTTCAATCTTATTATTTGTAGAGAAAGGATCAAAAATTTGTAGATAATTTTGAAGATCATGTAAAAACTTTTGTCATATTCTGTACTTATACGTATACGTATAAATACGATTTGTACATATAATACGTATAATATGATAAAACAATTGTAACAATATAACTCCCACTTTAATATCTTAGGTACAATTAATAATTTTAGGTACATTCATGACTCGAAGATCTAAAGAATGAAAACATTCTTAAAGCAACGCATCTAATGCACTATTGGAGTCTATTTCTATTAAAAAATAATACGAGTTGCTCAATGACAACGCTCTTAAATTTAACTTCTCTTACTAATCAGTATGACTCAAAAAAACATGTACACAAAGTAGGTAATGTGCATGCTTAAAGATACCAACATCGTTATCTTATCAAATGACGAGGTAATTTAGACCTTTAAAACTGGAAATCTCTTACATACAAAAATATGTTTTTGTTTTTCTGGTAGTTTTTTTTTTCTTTTAAATTATCTAACATTCTAATATGGAAGCTTACTAAATTTATTTTTTCTTTCCTCTCGCGCAATATTGCATAATAATATCTCACAGTTAAATTATTCTTGATGAGTCATCGATTACTTAGAAAATGTTCAAATGCTTACATTTGGCAAGCAATTTGAATACATTCAAGCTACAATATATAAGAGAATTCTTATGTTTGCATTTCCGCAAACATATCCGTAGGCATCGCCTACGTCCTCGATCTCGATATGAGATATGACGGATAATTTCATCCCAAAGGAGAATAAAAGAAAAAGATAGAAAGAGAGATGGAAAGAAAAAGTAGGACATTTCGACCTATTTCCAAAAGATGGGTGGGAATTCATATTAAGTTACTTCCATTGACTCTAAACGTATAATCAGTCAATAATTATCGTTCCCTTCATAAATTATTCGTAAGTCGTCCTATTTTTACATAAATATCATTCATCAAAATCAAATCTGAATAGTTAACGATTTTTTTAAACTCTTATTGCGTATATGCGTAAATTTGATGTATTTTGTTAAAAATATTAAACGCTTGAAGGTAAATAAATAATAGGATATTTTACAGAAGTGTTCGAAAAAAAAATAAAAAAATAGGGCATTTCAAATTGTTCCCGAAGGATGGGTAAGAACTCATGCTAGGTCACTCCCACTGACCCCAAATGTATAACTAGTCAATAATGTTCTATTATCCTTTATGGATTATTTGTAAATCGTTTTATTCCAATATAAATTCGTTCGTGAAAATGAATTCGACAAAAATTTCATGTTTTTAATGTAAAATATCAATATGATCATGACTGTATTATATCTATGCGTAAATTTTGTTGCAAGTATTCAAACATTTCAAGGTAAATTGTGACAGGATTCCTTATCTTTATATTTTTATTTTATTATTACTTTTTATATGTGTTTTAGGAATCGGCTCTTACGAAAACAAATCCTTGACCTAAAATGCTCAATTTCGGTCTTAACGTAAATTATTTAACAATATATGCATTTTTTTTTAATGAGTTTTAAAAATAAAAATAAATTTGTTACAATAACCAATTATAATGATAACTAACTATTATAATAATAAGAATGCATGACAAAATTATAAACAATTTAAATAAAAAATCTATTAAAATTATCGTCGTTTGTGAAATTTGGCTTAAAATAAAATTAAAAGAGGGATATTTTAATAAGCTTTGTATTAAGGTTATTGATTTTTTTGTGAATCATGAAAGATGAGGGAAAGATCATAAAAAAAAATGAGAAAAAAAGAAAGAAACAAACAAATATTGAATCATGCACGATATCTTTTGTTACATCTCGTACGTCTCATACGTATTATGGCTGTGTATGTAACGTAAGAATGTATGTATGTATATATGAATGACGTATGAATGTATCATGTATCTATGTATGTATGTATGCAAGAATGTATGAATGTGTATGCATGATGAATGACGCATGAATGTGTATGATGTATGTATGTATAAATATTTGTATGATTATGTATATATGTATGCAGTTAAGGACGTCGAGCAGGCGCTCTGATGCTTATTGGCAAAAGCGCGTGCCCACCAACCAACGAACGAACAAACGAACTAACGAAACGACGTCGTTTGCCTTCGTCGTCATCGTCATCGTCGTCGTCGTCGTCGTTGTCGTTGTCGTTGTCCTCGTCGTCCTCATAGTTCTCGTTGTCGCGGTCACGGTTAGCAAGATTCGACGACGTCTTTCGCCATCAAACCGATTCAGTTCGTTACGAACCGTCGCGCGGAATCACCGCGTCGCTTTTCCTCTCCCTTTCTCTTCCTCCATCTCTATCTATATATCTATCTATCTGTCTTTATCTATTTCTCGATTTGTTCGTCAATTATTATCGTTATCTTTTAATCGATCGATATAAATCCGAATTTTTATTTTGTTAATCTTTTCTTTTATATATATGTACGTATGTATAGACAATTTTTGACAGTGTTTTTACGTATATAATATATATATATATATATACATTTATTTATATATGTATGTATGTATCTATGTGCGCATAGCCTTTTCTAAATTTCATATAATTGTCGAAAAAATAGAAAAATATTTCAAGAGAGACCCCGTGAAAGAAGATATTTGTCATCTTAAGAATTGTGTGCGTGTTTGTGCGTGAGTTTAAGAAACACAGAAAAGAGATTTTCAAAGAAGCGATTTTGATATTAACAAAAAATGGTCATGATCGACATGGTAGATGTGATCGAGGATGAAGACCGGTAGGTATTATATTAATACGAACTTTTCCTAACAAAACTCATTCTCTCTCTCTCTCTCTCTCTCTCTCTCTCTCTTTTTTATTGTATTCATCTGAATTATTCTCTCTTTCATTCTCATACTTTTGAAGTCACGCAATGAAATGCAGACAATACGTTTGAATTTAATAACACGTGCTTTATATACATGTACCTCTGTGTAGCTTTCTTTAATTGAGTTTCTTCTTTTACTAGTTTTATTCATAATTATTATTTTGTATCGCGCGTGTGTGAAATTATTTATATATGTAATATTTACAATTAAAATCCACAATACCTAACACAAATTTTGTAATCACGCATTTAGAGAATCATTAATTTTTCTTTTCATGATTTATTATATTTTAATAGTAAACTCTTTTCTTTTTTATTGCTCCATTTGATTTCAATCCAATTTGATAGAATTCTGTTTGACCTCTACACTAAAATATAATCGATATTTCTACGTTATCAACCACGTTTGTGATTGGTAGTTACGTCTGTCACGTTATATAGTCATATTATCTATATAGAAAAGAAACAATTAATATATAGATAATTAATTTAAAAATGTTATACCTTTTAACAAATGAATTGCACGTAATTTTCATAATAACGTTAAGGATATTTTAGGTTTTGTTTTAATCCGGAATATGGTAAATAATAATCATCATTTTGGTCGACTAAATTATAAGCTTTTATATTTAAACGTTGACAACGTTGTTCGTTATACTATACATAAAATAAAACGAAATAAAAGAAAGAGAGAGAGGAAGGTAATAACAAATATAATCGAAATACATGGTAGTCACGTCACACACATAGATACATATAGTAGCATGCGCATATCTACCTGTGTCCATATACGTGCATTGCGTCTAATTTCGGAGCCGTTGAATCAATCGAATTCTACGAGAACTCGAATCAATTTGATTTGCAAATTTAGAGATATCAAATTCATTCGAAGAAATTAGAATTTACATACAGACAATCTATATGTATCGATTAGAAAATAGTATTGACTTGTCCCATAATTATTGTCTACATTTTCAATTAAAAAACTACTATTGTATTATTGTTTAATAATTAAGATATAAACTATGAAAAATATTCCGCCATTGTTTGTTACCAAATACAATATATAATATATCTCCAAATATAAATGAAATTAATTTCATTTAAAACAAGATAACACAAATGAATTTCAATATTTACAAAGTAATCGTATATATTAATCACCGTTGAATAAATTTCATGCGATAACGTATTGCTATTTCATTTGAATCAACAAAAGACACGTTAGTATAAAAACGTTATCGAGTTAAAAATTACAAAGAACCGAGAGAAAAGATGAATTACCTTGATAAGTTTCGTATGTATGAGTTAATATCATGTTAAATAATAATACCTTTTCTTTATATGCAATTATGACTTTATACATGTCTACTTACTTCTCTTCGACCTACTTGACACGTTTGATGTTCCACGTACAGAAATATGGATATTTATGTCATTAAGGGAGAAACACTATTTAGAAAATTGAATATTAGACGTTTCTCAAGATTTGTTTTCTTATACAAACATTATTACAACTTTCTACATCTTTTATTTCGCAGTTTACCCATTCCAAACAAAAATTATTTCTTTTTGTTTAATTTAAAATAGTTTAGTTTTCTCGAAAGGTTAAAATTGTTATCATTCTAATATGGATTACAAGTGTTCGAATTAGTTTTAAAGTTTATTTTATATACACAGTCGGTGAATTAGAAAAATCAAAGTATACGAACAATTCACAAGATGGCAATTTATAAGAACATATACTTTTTTGTGGAAAATTTCAAACAATGAAAAAATTTCATCAAAAATTATATCATTTATTTCCTTGAATGATTATTTTTATTTGAAAAAAAATCGAAAAAAAAGCAGTTAATTTTTGACCTTCTAAATAATGTTCCTCCTTAAATATAAATTGGGCTAAATGATTAAAGTAAGGAATTTAATGAAATTAAGTAATTAATTTAATAAAAAAAGAATTAAAATTAATATATATATTATATATGTTTCATTAAATATTAATGTAAATAATTTGTATGTAATGTTGTTTATAAATACTATCTATTATAATAATAGTATAATATACATATATATATTTCATATATCAGGAAATGAAAATATTAAACAGATCACGTGTAGGAACATTAATTGCTTCAGTAATTAAAAAACACGCTATGATACTCTACTTCCGGTTACTCTTTGCATCTTTTCTCAAGTATTCTTTTTCTCTCTGGACTTGATCACGTAATAAAAAAAAAAAGGAAACATTATTCGCACAGTTCTCATAACTAGTCTAACGGAACGCAATTAGTAGTTGGACTTATTACAGCCTTGAATTCGATGGGGTCAAATTAAAGAAAACCAAATAACATATTTTTCATAAAAAATCAATTTTTTTATACTAACATGCATATTACATGGAACATTTAAAAATGTAAATTTGTTGTAACAAGTGTAAGGCAAACTTACTACGTAGCAAACTTTACTAATACGCTTTAGAATTTTTCAAACGACCTCGTTTCACGTAAACCTACTAGTTTCTTTCTTCTAAATAAATAATCAAAGAATACGTTTGCCACAAATCGCGGATGGTCAATCTTCACACGAACACCGTGAAAGTCGTACAAACATTTCTAATCGATAATCGTAAGCAGTCAACGTGCTTGCAAAAGCACGCACGCACGCTCGGATAAACTTACAAATTCTTTCAATTCATTTATTTATCTTTTGCTTATAGATATGAAAGGCTTCTGCGAAGAGCAAAAACGGAAGATCTCACAGAGGTGTCTGGAATTGGTTGTCTTTATCAAAGTGGTGTAGATCGTCAAGGAAGACCAGTCGTAGTCTTTGTTGGCAAATGGTTCCCTGCTACAAAGATTAACTTGGACAAGGTAATAATGTCTTGTATAAAAGATTAAACTTTTCTTTATTTTTCTATTAGATAAATATGTTTATGTGAATTTAGATTGAAAGATGAAACTATACAATCTCATTTGAAGATTTATCAGATTATTCAGTTGCGTACCACGCCTTAGTTTGTTTGGCCGCAGCCCTTTTTCTCTGCGCGGCACTGTAGCAAATCAATATGTATATGTCCAGAAATAGAACATCTAAAGAAAAAAGCTCCTGAATCGAGCGGCCTCCTTATTCCAAGCATACGTAACTGTCCTCTGAACTACACATTTTCTTCTTCTTCTTCATCTTTGTTTCTCCCTCTCTTTTTTCCTAACATCTATGACGCAAATGTTCATCTTCAAAAGATATGCCAAACAGTGTAGATCAAAAGGCAACCCTACGATGTATCTTGTACAAATATGGGTTATTTTAGAGTACACATGTATCCAGATAATTCTTTTCAAATAGTATCATTAAATCGTACCTACCTTTTATCTTTCTATCTCGTTTGTTTTTCTAGGCTTTACTGTACGTTATTCAATTATTAGACCCTATTGTGAAAGGAGATTATGTGATCGCATACTTTCACACGTTAACCACGAGCAGCAATTATCCTAGCTTACAATGGCTACGCGAAGTCTACAATGTGCTTCCTTACAAGTAAGATTTATATCTCTTTTTTTTATTATCTATTTAACGCATTTTTGACTAATTATTTATGTAGACTAGATAATGCGTATTATCTCTCAGTTATACTCATAATTGCACGACAAAATTTGTATTATAATAAAATATTACTTATTAGTGTTGATGAGAGTTTCAAATCGTAACGATCGAATATTTAACGAAGTTTAGATGTTTTGTGTGTTGGAATATTAATAAAAAGAAAAATGTATGTCTACATAATAAAAAAAGACGCTGAACTGTAAGATTAAGTTGCTAAAGAAGTCCCAATAAAGGGACGAAACGTCCAACTTAGTTAAATTAAGTTCTACTTCTTTTTATGTCCAAGTTCCCTATGAAGAACCCTTATCATTAAGAATTATAATTTTGGACGAGAGAAATAACTAATTAAATTACTTATTTACGAAAATTGTGGCGTGACGTAAAGATTGTCAACAATTTGTTATAATAAAAAAGTATTAAGATTATAATGTGTTTTTCTTTTTTGTCTTAGGTATAAAAAGAATCTTAAGCACTTTTATATCATTCATCCTACTTTCTGGACAAAGGTGAGTACTCGTTTTGTTTATGGAATGATCAATTTGGAATAAATATTAACCATTATTGTCCTTTATTTTATTCTAGATGATGACGTGGTGGTTCACGACATTTATGGCACCAGCGATAAAACAAAAAGTGCATAATTTACCTGGCATTGAATACTTGTATGAAGATATGGCACCTGATCAATTAGAAATTCCAGCATACATCACGGAATACGATATGACGGTAAAATGTGATTGAAATTCAATTTTTATTTATTATTTTACAAATCCGACCAGAGTTATACAGCCTGCCCAACTGTATCACCTCAATTTTTCAAACTGTATCACCAAAATTTGTTTACAATCGTATTAAAAAACTTCAAAGAAAAAAGTTGCATTAATCCTAATGATTGAAAGAATTTTTTTCTCAAGCTCATTTTTTTACGAATTTTAAAAGTCAACTTTATCTTTTAAAAAAGAACTATATTTTCTTACAATATTCTTATAAGGGGTAAAAAACCGAGTAAAAATGATGTGTACGACCATATAATTTTGATCATTTATTCTAAAAATATTTACACCTAATGATAAAATTACTCTGTCCACTTTGAACATTTCTGTTATCTGTAATAATATAAAAAAATGTATGATACATAACTTGCACGGCATATAAAGGGGCATATTGCGATACCTATTTCATCTGTGTAAGTGGAGGCGTAGAGAAAAATTCGAGATCATCTTCATTTTTTTTAAATGGGATGACTTATTTTTTTTAACAGTTTCAGCAAGCTATTAATGAAAGATTCAAGGTCAAGTGTGATAGTAAAATAAACGTTTTTCATTATAGAAGATTTTGTGAATTGTGATCATTTACGTCAATGCAAAGGTGTTATCTTTGTATCGCTAAAAGACGTACACGTATAATTATCCGTTGATAATATGTCTTATGATCGCAGTAGCATTTCTGCAAATGGTCACAATTTCGAAAATCCATTTAAAATTTGAAATCATTTGTGGTTTCACGATTAGTGCTACTTTTTCCTTTGAAATTTTTTAATACGATTGTAAACAAATAAGATATTTAGGTGATACTGTATATTTATTTAGTTTAATGAAATTAGAATTGCATTTATTGGGCTTATTGTCATTTATAATAGAAAATATGACTATAATAATAAAATTATATATAAATTTGCAGATAAACGGGCTAAGATATTACACGCCAGAACAATTTTCCGAAGTAGAAACCTCGTCGCGAACGTAACTCTTCGAAAACAGATAAAAGAGCGAAAGAACACAGGTAGAAATATAGAAGAAACAAATATAGAAAATGATATTTTAAAAGAAAAGCAAAAGAGAGAAGTTTTGTGCAAAGGCGTGTTGCTTAAGTGCACAAAATTGAAGCTACAATTATTTAATTATCGAAACACACGTAAAACTTTTATCTAACGTAAGATATCTCATATGTCCCTTATCGTTCATTCTTCCAACGCAAGAAAAAAAAAAAGAAAATAGAGAAACGCCTTACACAAATAAAACGTTGACGACGAGAGAATATGACGGAAAAAAAATATTTCGCTGATAGCTTCCTAAAACAATAACAAATATTAACATTATTCGAGGAAGCGAAAATATATATATATATATATATATATATAAATATAAATACTAGGACAATTTGAAACATTCATACAGTTTTTGTAATTTCTATTTTCTCATTGTTTTCTTTATTATTATATATATAAATTTTATCTCCTTAGGAAGGGACACATCTTAACCCTCTATAACGAATTATAAGTTTGAAATTGTACGATTAATTATCTATATTTTTGCTTTTCGTCGCCACAACATTTCTTTGTAATACTTTATATTTAAAGTTTTTAACGTTTCTAAAATATAAGTTATAATTACTACAATCTAATTATATTGTGGTATAAATAATACTATAATTTTCACATTATATAATATTTGTAGAGATACGGATAAAAAAACTAGGTTATAGAAGGTTAAAGTAAAAAGAAAATTAAGAAAAGAGTAAATTCTTGAAATAACCCTAATAAGACGATTGACGCGACGATTTGAAAAATCCATAAAAAAAACGAGCGTCTTCGTAAGAAATCGATAAACTTATATATGACTGATCTATATTCGATATAGATCTAACATTAATTGGAGCTGAATCATAGTCATGATTTGAATCCTAACTTGATCCTGCAACTGCCATTGGTACACAAACAAAAATATATACGAGATTGAAAATTATTTTCGCTACGGATTATCCCAGCGAGATTGAACTATTTGCAAATTTAAAAATCCATATTGACGTGATGCACATGCTTATCTTATCTCATAGTCTTTTACCTTTTTCTTTTTTTGTAATGTTACCACACCATAGATTATTAAAAATTTAAATGTAGTCATAAATGTGTAAGCGTTTTTAAGCCTGCCGACAAAAATATGTAACTATCCGACAGTTGTAGGATCAATTTGAAATCTTCGCTATGTACGTGCGCGCGCGTGTGTGTGTATATGAACGTGTTTGTTTTTCGAATTATCGATAGATCATTAACATTCGAAACAGTTCCCATTCGCCTAAACAAAATATATCGGCTGCCAAAACACCAATAACTAATATTCTCGTTATTGTAATCGTTATCGTGAAAAATAATGAGAATGGATTAGAAAGAATGACAATGTTTCTAATTTTTTAATAAGAATTAAATCTATCATTTCCTAATTTTTTTTTCCATTTGTATTATTGTATGTATATTATTTTAATGATGTTTTATTAAATACTAATCTAGTACGATATTTTTTAAAAATGATCAATAATAAATTACCATTTTATATTTTATATAAATAAATGATATGAATTTTCTCATATTCAGTGTTAGAGAAATACCAAACATACAATCTCGAGTTACTGTGCGACTCTGATTTTTCCTTAATTCAATAAATGTTTTCTTTATCATTTTATATAAATTTAAGCACATTATGTGAGAAATTATATGAAGCTATATTTCATAAGTTACTAGAAATAAAAAAAAATGAGTGACGATGGTAATAATATGTTTAATCTATGTGAAAATAAATTAACAAACGAAATTTTCATGTGATTGTGAAATAAGAATGTTGTACTTTGTTCAAAGTGCCGGATTAGACGCGTATATACGTCATTTATTTATATAATTCTATACATAGGACACGAATGAAAAAGAATAGACCAAGTTGAATATGAAAAAAGAGCATCATTGTTATAAATTATATTAATATATATATACATATATATGTATATATATTGTCTGCAATGTGTGTAGTCATATAGTACCATCGCGAGTTACTAGGTAGGAACTCCCGTTATATAAAATCTGTT